TGATATGGAATATAGCAGATGCAGCAGACAAATTTGACTCAATGTAAGCCGGGAGACAATTCTATCATAATGAATAAAGAGTTGATCAGAGCGCAACAACTTGAAATAATTATGATTCAAGTAGTGATGTTATGTGAAGTGGCACAATAATCATGAGAACATTATACTCAATTAGTGTCATAAGCAGAAAAGTAGAGCCTGTGATCTTGAAGCTTGGAGCCGGTGATCCCATGGATCCTAAACTAATTTCTAATTATAATTATGATCACACCAACACTAATAACTGTGGTCAGTGGTTTTCATTGAAATAGAGAAAAGCAAGAAAACTTTGACAGTGCGCTTTGGAAGGCTGCAGTAAAAGTTTTTAATAATCTTTATAGCAATAATATTAATGAGAATCAGCTAGTGAATAATGCCAAGCCTTGGTGTAAGCTTATCTACTAAAATAGTTAAATAAACTATTTATTAGCACAATAAAACGAGACACCTACGGTGCATGGCCTCGCCCCTATAGCTGCTATGGTGCATGCTTGCACTTCAATAACTGTTTGATTATCAGCATGAAGAGAGTCTGCTTAACACTAGCTTCCTACAGTTGCACTTGCTCTTGAATACCTGCAGAAGTAGCAGCACTGCAGCACATACATATGCAAGCAGCTCCAGCCCCTCCCATGCATGTAGATTGAAAGGTGTGGCATTCCATGACTGGATCCTGGAATGAGTGTCAGCAAGAACACCATGTGAGAAAGAAGCTTCAATTTTTCTTTACTAATCAGCAATATATGATAAACTTGCTGACAAAAAAGTTGCTGCCTTTGTATATTTGAGATAGTATAGGTACTTTAGTACCAATAACCCAGCAAGTTGTTGCTCTAGCGCTGCACAAACGAGTGACCTCAACAATTTCAAGTAAGTATAACTCTTCATCAAGTAAGATTTAGAGAAATCTGTTCATAATTTTTGAAGGCCATGTTCTAATCTACTGAAAAATGTTACCAGCTATCTCTAAAGTGCCAACACAACG